AGAACTAGCGAATTGGCGAAGTGCTCCTCAAGCTCGATATTTCATTCAGAACCCCAGTTCTGCAGTTGCCCATCACCAAACTACTGACTGAACAGATATAAAGACAATGAACATTCAATACTTTGACTGGAAACTAGTGTGATGTGTATAGTCCTTTGTTTGCTGCGGACTGAATTCTGTCAGTCAGATTTGCAATGTGACCACCATTCTAGGTAGCTCACCATCACGGTGCCCATTGATTTAATGATATTATGTGGTTGGAGGCAATCGGTAAGAAGCCTGGGACCTAGGTTTCGTGCTAGTCGGCGAGGCGTATCTGTAACCTAACATAGGGAATCCTGCCTCTAAGCTGAATATTAGGCAAGGTCGCAGGATGTATTGGCCTGGGTCAGGAGGTTTTTACAAATGTCAATAATAAACTTTCAGCTAGACTGGGGGCCAGCATTTGAAAGCTTAAAATAAGTCCACTAGACTAATGTAAACCATTTTTCATCCTAGTTTGTTAAAAATAAGATAAAATCTCCCATGGTAACAACAGAGTCAGTTTGGCTACATCGGTACTCAAGATTCTCCGCTTCATAGTCTTATAAAGAATAAATGAGTCCCAGGAAAGGAAAACTGGAGAAAATCAGAGGGATCTCAATTCAAGACAAAGATGCACCGATCATATCTCCACCCTCCTACACATTCGAATAACCCTCGGTCCATTTTTCCTTGGAAAGATGAAATAATCAATTTCAGACGAGAAATAAGATGGACAAAGTCGACCTATTTTATAAAAATTAAATCTATTTCTCTGTGAATACTATCACAAACTAACACCAGTTAGAGAATCCTTGAAAACGTTGAATCGCTGAACTGCTGATTCGCTCTAGCACAAAACTCTTCAGTAGTGTGCACCCACGAGCCCACCATCGATCGTACGCATGACTTTCGGATTATGAAGTGAGCATACTTAAATTTCAATTACCGAATTGGAATTACATAACCTTCTGTCAATTCCCGATAAGTTTAAGCTCAGTTACCCAGAACAGCATTTTTCATGTACCAGACTAAGAGCCACACTGATTGCGTGACGGCTGACAATACCATCGATCTGCCCAGACTAAGGAAAGTGGGGCAAGACTCGAACTAGTGCCCAGTCGGCTGAAAAGGGAGTGATCACTTAAACCAACAAGCTAAATCAAGCGATACAGCTGCACCACCAGCCAATATTATGATCAAAGGAAACACCTGCCCAGTGCTCTTTGGTTTTTTTTCTAACAGATGATTTAGAAATCGATCTAGTCTAGTCTAGTGTAGTCTAATCTAAGCTAGACGACGGTGTACAGAGTAAGAGATTAAATTTCACATACATACTGCACACACATCTTTACTTGTTTGGTGCTAAAACACAATTTCTAAGCACAATGTCAATACAGAAAAAGGAGATAAATCAACAAGAGAACAGGCGAAGAAAGAGAAGGAGGGGGAGGCGGAGAAGTAGGAGATGGAGAAAAAAGAAACGATCACAGCATCAAAAGTAAATTGTTTCATTTTACTGTGAAAACATCCGTCTGTCTGTCTATCTATCTCTCCCTCTCTCGTATCTTTTGACATAAAAAGCAAATAAGCGGTTTCTTACTCTTACACTTGTATAATAACAATCACAATACACCTTTCCAAATACACATATAAGAGAAAAAGGGACAGTGACTGACTGAGACTACCTAATCCTTCTTCCGTTATCAACACTGCTAAAATCCAGTTTAGGCCTGCCAGTGTGTGTGTGCGTGTGTGCCAGTGCGCACGCGGGTGAAACTTACATTTAAAGACTATTCATGAATTATGTCATTGAAAAAAACACACAACAACAATGAATCCATTGATTATTATGCGTAAATATACCACGCCATTATTCCAAGTCGGAACATAAAAACTTAGCAAAATTGAGATTAGTTTAATTTAACAATATTTAGAAATCTAGTAAATAACTCAGCTAGAGGACTACATGCAGTGACACACAACCATAAGATGACAGTCTTAAAATATAATGTAACCGAGTGTAGGGAGTTTTATTTATCAGGATGAAATCTATCCTGGAATAAAGAACAAGATCTGCATCTTCAACACTAATGTCAAGTGAGCCAGTGTTTCTATATGGCTCAAAGACTTTACGACTTTGTCACAGAAAGAATTTGCAAGAGGTTACTACTACGCACTCTTATTAACATTTGGCTTCTTCGTCGCATACACAAGATCAGATGACTGGTCAGAAAGGATAAGCGATAAGAAACTCTGACAATGAACCAAGTAACAACCTAATGCTCAGCAAATATGCAAAAAGAAATGGAGGCGGACTGAATATATGCCACGAAGACCGTTGAGTGACATCGCAGGTCACGTTGTCAAGCGTAACACAAATGAAAATGGATGATTTTGGAATCTAAGTGTGAGATGAATGAAATGGAAGCTTCTAGGCGAATTCAGGGCCAGAGGCACTCTGTAGTAAGGTATTCATACAAACACAACTCCGGAAACTGTCTAAAACAGGCCATGTTTGACCAGCCTCCAGCAGTTATCCTCTGGGCTTTGAGGTCACACAAAACCAATACCGTTTCTGTTTCTGATACTCCAAGATGAAGTCAACTTCCATGCAGGGAATAGCCGTGAAGTAAAAACCGCCCACACAGTTCCATAAAGATACAAACCCGTAGCATCAAAGTGGACTGAGCTTTTCAGCTGTACCACTGACAATTATAAGCACGATTTATTGCTAATAATCATATCATAGTACCCCAATAACCATCATAGTTTGCATATTTAGACCTATTAATCAAATGAAAGAATCCAACTAAAAATTTTTTAAATCTCTTGGCACCTGCGTGAAACAATTTTTAAGTATTAAAACAGTTACCCAAATAATCTTGATACCAAAAGCTGAATAATAAGCAGTTAGAATACAATGTTGTAATTTCTACTTATGAATTTAGTTCAAGGGAATCAAGAAATATGCTTTATAGAATAGTATAAAAAGGGGAAACAAAGGGAATGAAATAGAAAAAAGCAGTATGATGAACAGATAAGCATTCCTATACAAAACCTTCAAAGGGGCACTGGTCACTACGGTACTTTAGAGAGTGGAAGAAACAAGAATGCTGAAGCGTCTTTGCCAGTGCTTTGAAATATGAAACGATCCAATTGCGTATTGAATTAGTCGTATCAACTCATGCGCAACACCAAAGAAGCTATGGTGCATCAAGAAATGCTAAACTAACACCCAGTGGTATGTCGATAGACTGACAAACAGTGGAATGTAAAGAAAGTTCCGAGATGGCACTAGTAGCATGAATCTTAGCTGCCTATGCTGGTGTCCTACGTAACTTGAATCTTGTCTTAATATACATAACCAGTCCTGGAAATTTCGCAATGCCTCCAATATTAGTTGCGCAAAGATATTCCTGTCACTGCACTTAGTGATTTGAACTGTAATTATGGAAACAGTTCATCAGCATAGGTTCTATCATGCAATAAAACTTCGCCAGCATCTGTACGAGTTTCATATTAAAATTGTCACTATGCACACACTGAAAAACTGTTTAAAGGATATTATTACTGGTAAATTTAAAGTGAACTTTAGGAAGTGTAAATGCTGTCATTCACCTTACTAAACGTAATATTAACAATGACTGTGGCTCATTGAAAAACACATATCGATAAGAAACGCAATCAGGAAACAATAATTCAAGAATAATCTACATTGCGTGTTCCCGTTATTTAAAAGGCAAAATATATGTTTATCATTGATGGTGCCTTCTGCCGACTTCAATTATAATAATTGCCCAACAAGTAAAACTCCATTTTAAGAGGTTCTTAACTGTACATTCCGCTTTTAGTAAAACATAAAGTTCATCTGATCCGTTACGATCCTTAAACATGAGAAATGACGTTATCTACCATGATGATATTTTACGGTGACAAGCAAGATCGTTTGTTCAGACTATTACTTATGTATATAACCAAATATACGGTGGATAAAACATCTGGATAGTGTTGTAACTGCAGTAAAAAAGAATATAACTGTTTGTTGCACATATGTGAAATTTGCAGTCTTTTATCATTGTTTGGGCTCATTTCCTACAGGAAGAGTTTTATGTCCCAGGCTAAAAACTGATGATACATGACACCTGATGGTCCTACCTAGTTAGACAAGCTAGAATAGGCCGGGCGTGACTCGAATATGTGAACCACTGTGTAGTAGGAGATAAAATTTGCTTTCATTTCAGAAAATAAGAAAGTTTAATTATGTTATGCTGCTACATAAATGGAAAGGAGGAAGGAAGCTGATGTGTTGTTATCTATAGAAACAAAGTGCATAGTAACATACATTTTGGGTGAATCATCTTATCGTTGATTAGTAAAGACAAGTTTGTCAAATGGTCTAGCAACTAAATAGGAATTATAAGTAGTGCATCGGAAAGTGAAATACACAAAAGCTCTAATGAAACTAGTGGCTGCAACATATAATAAGAACATATTTTAGAGCATTCAAAGCGTTAACTTGAAATGAAACTGACGAAATCTTAAGTGGGATTATTTATAGGGCCGTATTACGGTAGTACCAAAACCTATGGAATTACTGAGGGAAACAATTACATACTCGAGGACTCTTCTGAGCTCACAACATTACAATAACTGTTAATCCAGGCAAACGAGTTGGAGTAGTAGACCGAAGTCACTTACATTATGAGAAAACATAAATTTAGCTAAATGAAGAATGATAAAACCTAAAACATGATTGCGTGCACCTGAAACACAATCAAACAATAAAGTTGGATAGTTCCAAGAGTTAATCAACTAACGCCGACAAACAGAGTAGCTAGTAGCTCTCTCTGTGTTCACAATTAACCCAACATGTAAAAAAGGAATGGTGGAACAACCATATCGGAGGTATTTTATAAAATATTACGATGACTGAAGGCAGATAAAAGAAAGTAAACGAAAAACTTTACAAGACCTACCCTTAATGCATTTGCGTTTGAGCTATAATCGATCTTTTGACACATGAGTGAATACCTTTCATTGAGTGCAACTGCAATGCATTCGTAAACAATATAGGCATTTGAAACGACCATAAGCAAGTCATAAAGAAGAACAAAACGAGTAACACTGTACGGCTTCCGGCCTTTCATATACTTCAGCCCATAATGAACCATCAACAGGTAGGCTATTAGAACAAATATTATTCCCTTGATTGAACCCATTAAGAACAGGGATGATACTCGGGGGTCTAGAATGATAAAATGTTATGTTCACTGAGGTACCTGCTTTGTCCATGCTCCGTTTAAATGCATTATTGAAAGACTCGATGTATGCATCCATACTAAATAATTCAGTCTTAATCAATAGCCGGTGACAAATGATGTGCTAGAAGAATTCGCACGCAAATTACGGCTTGTAGAAAACACCACAATAAAACAAATTCAATGTCAAATGACTAATCTTATATATCTACGATCAAGTAGAATTTATTGAAATTTTATAAAAAAGCATCAATGATAACCTCAAATCACAGTTTTTATCTATTCAGTTCCTCTGATTTTAACTTCGTTATGTTTGCACTAATCTTACTGTAGTATGAAGACCGCTGTATCGAGATATAAAGACGCGTTTTGTATAATCCTTCACCCAACCCGAAAATCATTGGCTGCACATTTTTATCTAAGGTAGCTGACTCACGGATGCATCGAAGCCAAACGCTGGGGATGATCTTTTACTGACAGACTTCTGAGGCATGATAACAGCTTCATTCTGAGATGAAGTAAGAGAATAATTCGAAACTTGTATGAGAAGGGTTCGCTTCAACAAACGAGTACTACGAAACTCACAAGGACTTTGAAAGGCGACCTACTGTGTACTTTAACTTCATCAACTTCGAAAAGCCCCGGAAATGTCACCAATAGTGTTATTTTTCACATTACGAAATTCTGTGCAACAAACAGTAGATCTCACTCAAAAAATTTACGATGGTGTTACATGCCAGGTAATTCACTGAAGAAAGCTCATCGAAGAGTTCATTGAGGTTTTGTTGCAAATATATACGACACAAACGGAGATGTCAGAGCCAACTAGGATCGGAAAAGCAAGACAGGTATTCATGACATCAAAATCAGTGTGGACAAGTACAGTGCTCATAATCATACCAGATCGTCACTTTTGCAATCCTTAGGGACTTGGCGCATCACCTAAAGCTTTTCCAGCAGCCTGTATTTGTGTCGCCCCACAATGAAGATAAGTTGGCTGGCCGGAAAGTTACACGACAAGCAACTCTGACAACGTACTGAACAATAATGTTGCTTGGAGCGCATATTCAAAAGGAAGTGGAGATGTATCTGACGGACGCCATGAAAAATATCACGGTGACATGACACACCAGGCGGTTCTCGGATGGAAACTGAATGAGCAGTAATGAGTTAGGCTGATAAAGGCGACATGGAAACAATCGTGTGAGAAGTAGATAAAAGACATTGGACAATTTTGGAATTAGTTGTCAGTTACGGAGAAGGACAGAGTGGAGTGCAGCTGTGTTACCAAAGTGCTGTATCTGGGCTGAAACGCAAGGGATGAGTATTATTATTATTCGCGAACAACCTGTAGTAGAATACATGAAACCTTTTTGCAATGTGTTACACAGACAGACTATTTTGCAGACTGTTCTGACTGACTATAATGTTAGATTGAACAAACAAACTGTAATTTATATAATAACTTATCCATGCCTGTACAATTGGTATGTTCCCGCATAAACAGGAATAAATACATATTTATATTTATAATAATAATAATTTTTGCTTTATTCCAAAAACAGTATTAATGATACAGCAAGGAATTTTCAGCATTCAGTACAGTATTGCATCTAATTTACTCAAAAACGACAACAACAAACAAAAAAAGTAGATAAACGGAATAATTAATACATAATAATGATAACAAAACGTTTTTATAGGAGCTATGTAGCAATTACAGTAGAGGATAAGGAGAAAAATATAAAATTATAGTAATAATAGTAATAACAACTAAAATAAAAATAGCAAAGTTATAATTAAACGATAGAAAGGGTGACACCATAGAATTACAGAAAGATGAACGATGAAAGGGTCGATTCACTTTGCTAATTACATAGTAACTTCTTATATGTTTCACGTCTAACAGTGAGTGTCTCCATCACATAAAATACGGGCTAAGTACGGTATTGTAGAATTTTTGTACTTAGTGGTACGAGCATACAATTTCTTATATTGACTTCTCGTTCTACCTGATGAGATACAAGGGGATAATTGTGAATAAAGAGGGTGCAGAGGGTCTGACAGTACGGCCTTTGCCCAATTTTTACAGGAATTTACGTGTCTCTCGACTATGGTATTGGCGAGATCACGCAGTGGCAAACCACAAGCCCTACTCACAGCATTTAATACCCTTCGTAATACGGCATAGTCTTTTTTAAGAAGCCCAGGAAAGATTAATGGAGAACAATAAAGTAAAATGGGTAAAATACGGGAGTTTAAAAATCGCAGAACTAAAGGTTGGCCGATACCTTGTTGTCTTAACTTTTTAATGTAGAAGGTAAGACGAAACATTTTCTTAGAGACCAATAAAATGTGAGATGACCATGAAAGGTCCGAGGAAAGAACTAATCCAAGGTATTTAATGCTTGATTTGGTTTCAATTTCTGTACCATCTATGCTACAGGCATCATGGGAACTAACTAGTTCATGTATGTCACGTCGATGGTTGAAGGTAAAGTTAACTGCCTGACATTTGGAAGGATTTAACATAAGACCATTTGACTTAGACCACATGCTGATGTCCAACAAAAAGCTATTAAGTTTGGAGCAGTCAGACTCAGAAGTCTCATTTAATTACCCCGGTGTGTGGACGCCTTCGCATTAGGCCCGATATTTGCTTCGTCCGCATCTGTATAAGAGCGAGATGAAAAATGGAGGAATTCTTCCGGTTCGGCTACCATAACATTCATATTCAGGACATATAAATATATGGTAGACCTTAAGGCCACAACCAGCATATGAAAACATCAGATTTAAGTAAACTCAGTCGGTTTTTAACCAATATTCCATCGACATAGAAGGATAAAATACCGTGAAGTACGAGATAATGCTCCTGGATTTCTCAGAGGAAACCACTAAAACATTACACTAACAAAGTTCGGACAAGAAAGTAATCCCCAGAGGCTTTCAGGCACCTCAGTACTCCGAGTGGAAAAATATTCACCATTATCCAAATACATATGACATACACAGGATAAAGTAATGGAATGATACTGATAATGTCACTTTGCATAAGGTGAAGCAGTGTGCGCAATATAATCGTAGGCATAACTTTTATTTGAATTTAGCTAAAAGGAGACGGAAACTGAAACCCTTATAATAATAATAATTTATATTTTCATATACATGAAAATGCATGCCATTTTTACAGGCACGATCAAGTATGATATAATGACAAATAGTAGATTGTCTACAAGTTAATAATGTTTGAACAGCTAAATATTTGATATATATATAAATACACTCATTGTCTGACCCATGTCGTATCATTATTGAATTAAACAGTAGTCCTCCAGGTTGCGCAGGAAAATCGACTTCGTTTCGTTTTCAACCCGTAGTTGTAGGCATATGATAGCCAACCAATAGTGAGGTAAGTACAACGTTTACAAGGGATAGTAAGATTATCACTTTTTTTTAAAGTTCAAATTGTTGAATTACATAGTACAAGCAATCGGAACAGATTCTTATAATTGTTAATTTGTAAATCTTCCACGAAGGTTTCCATCGAAGTCGAGCGATAACCACGTGCTTGAACGCTATTTCAGGAAAAGGAGAAAATCCGGCACAGCTACAAAGTGGTATAAAATGCAATCATGAATGATACATTATTGGAAGTATATTTACAAGAAAAATACAAGAATAAGCTATGCAGTACTTGATATGATAGTGCACATTTGCAATGTATGATCCTAACCATATTGGTCTTACTGTAGAAAACTATGACGTTTTCTATGAAAATAAAGTTATTCTCAAACATCGGTGCTGTTGTTATGTTTTTTTACCATCAGAGCAACCGAACTTCATGCGAGAGAAGAGTGTGAATGAGAAAAAAGAAAAACAAAGGAGTAAATTTCAGCTTTACTAAAGGCCTAGGAAGTTGAGATAAGATAGAGTATAATAGTAATTAGGTAGAGAGATTATCTTGAAGTATATAAGTGACATTTTAGAGAGAAGTGGCTATTTCCCTTAACTCGGCCTTAAGTTCTCCTGTAGACAACTTTAGAAGTTCTGTTTCTGAAGATAGTACTGAAACAGAGCTTGAAGGCTGGAGCTTTTCGATAAGCACATAAGGTGTAAGGAGGGTTTCTGCATGAGCAGAGGTTACTGAATTTTTGGGAGTAGTGTTAATACTAGCTGTCAGTATCCTCAATTTTATCCTCAGTTTCAGCTCGACGCTTACGACATACAGGTGAGTTATGTGGCTCAATATAACCATTTGTAGGGAGTGTGTTGCTTGATGTAGCAATCAAGGACTTAAAATTAGTCATCAGATTTACAGGGGATTCAGTTCGTTGCTTTTTACTTTGGTTAACCATAACTATTTGATATGAGAGTTAATAGTTATAGGTATGGAGGTAGTAGAGTACTTGTGCAAGGATCACAACAAGATAAATTTTATGTAACGAATCACGCAAAATGTAATGCAAACGTTGGACGTACCGCTCCACAGAAGGCGACTGGTATCTATGAGGTATGTACCTGTTACTGTAGAACAGCTCCAATGGCTGTGTTAGATGCATCAACTGAGATGCTAAGTGGAAGTTGGACGTCTAGGTGAACTAGCATGGTGGCGTCTGCAATCGCCGGCCTAATATTCTGGAACGCTTCTCGAGCCTCTGGTGTTTCGCTCTTACTCTTTAGTAGGTCTGTGAGTGCCTGTAAAATATGTGCACATTGAGGAACAAATCGTCGGTAATAACTCACCATGCCTAGAAATGTGC